ACTAGCTGTCCAGACAGCACTAGATGGAGGACTCTACCAGATCACCCGACTAGTGACAAAAAGGCGTCGAACGCAGAACTTCAAAGCACAAGCACATTTTCAAATACTGTGATTTCACAAATTTTCGGTGTACTTTTGTTTTCGGAACTTTCGGTGCATCCGTTTCATACCTAACATTTCAGTACACCGAGGCACTGCACTAACACACATAATCCAATTGGAAAATGCTTCTCACTAAAATACCTTCTGATGCCCCTGTGATTGACTAGGGCTCGAATGAATGTGGCATATTGCAAATTTTCGGCTCAGCCACCACTCCCCAACGAGTAAATGGTACTTCAGATGGCCGACCGTACCACGCTAAAATACCTTCCAACGCATGCAATGCATGTAGAGAGCTCTACATGAAAAACATAAGAACAGCCTAGGGTACAACTCTGAACCCCAGTGCCTTGGCACCAGGCAGTAGCTAGTACTGTAAATGCATGTATGCCACTAAGGCCTCCGTCACACTGCGGCAAGTTTGAAGCTGGACGCAGCGTCAAGCCGCAGCACTTGACGCAGACGCGGGGTCACACAGTGTTTTGTTTTTCTTGCAGCTCATGACTGCCGCGGCCTGACGCATTTGTCACGTCACAAAATCACCAGGGAAAAAATCACCACGGAAACCGGCGTTTTGCTCAATTATACAAAAAATTGTCGGACAAAGTTTTCAAATTTTTCATTGATTTTTGATTCCAAGAAGACGAAAGGTCCACGCGTGCACGATCGTTGTTGTTTCTTTCCGAATTTGAAGCCATGTTCAGTTGCAGTGTCATGGATCAGGCAAGAAAAGTCCGCATCGCAGCTGTGTTTCTCCTGACTTCATACTGGTTGTCCATTTTGGGGCTCTTGACGACAACACAACACTCACAAGTCAACAGGCTCCAGTTGGCCGATGACCCACTCAAACAACTGGTCCTTTCTCGACATCATTTTCTTCTCAGAAAACGCCTCACTCTTCCGCCAGGTTCGGAGCAGAGCAGCCTCGGCCTCGTAGGTCCACGGACTTATCTCGAAAAAAAAGAGGGAACAAAACAAACCTTGAAGAGACGAATGTCGAATGACTGCTCAACTCAAGCAACTGTCTCGAGACTAATTTTACTTGAAAGACACTGTTTTTCCGCCAAGCGTCACTCCCATCGGCATTTCCCCACGTCAGACGCAGCAGCGTCTGACGCTCAAACTTCCCGCGTTTGCATCAGTTGCCATGGAAAAGCTCATGATTCAGACGCTGACGCAGTATTTTTGCCGTAGTGTGACCGAGGCCTAAGGCGAGACCAAAATAAAATCGAGATTCCCGGGCAGGACCCATCTGAAATTGGTGCGGGCGGGAGAATTTTTATTTTTTTAATTCTTTTTCCTATGTGTGTATGCATGGCATGCTGAACTTTTTTTTACAGTATTTTCCGGTATTTATTTTTTATTTTTTACAGACGACAGGTACATGGTACGTGGTTTACCGGTACGATTTCTTTTGTATTTCGGCCAACGACAGCCCTGAGTCGTACACCAGGGAGTCGTACAAGCCCAGGTTCGTGTGACACCATGTCACAGATCTACTCGCACGATCAGTACTGTACATAATACAAACTGTTCAAAACAAAAACAAAATTGCCTTCGGCTCGATTTTGGTGCGGGAGGGCCCAGGAATCTCTATATTTTTTGGTCTCACCTAAGTTTAAAAAAAAAAACAGAAGAAAAAAAGGGAGTTCAGGGCACACTCGGAGTTGAACCAAGGACCTCTCGATCTGCAGTCGAATGCTCTACCACTGAGCTATATGCCCCAGCCACAGCAAGTTATAATCTTATGAACATCCCAAACTTACAAATCTACTCGAGTTGTTATTCCTCACTGTCTTGGCATTACCGAATGCTTCCAGCAATGGATTGGACTCGAGGATGACATCTTTCACACGCTATGGGTGAGTGAAAACAAAACAACAAAGCAAACATAATGTTTAGTCAGACAACCAGAACAAACCAACCCATTGTCATTTGTTGGGCCAGTGCCCACTAAGTTGCTTTCCTATACTACAATTTCCTGCATCCGCCTCTAGATCCTAGAGGGCGGAAAACTCAGTGTATGCGAGTCTCCAAAACGCCAACTTGTCGGGCGCAAAGAGGACTATTCAAAGTACTAGGGAAGGTTTGAGTGGCGGTCAAGACTCTTAGCGATAGGTCAGCGATGCTCTAGGGCACGGGACTACTACACTCATACACCGGTCATCCGCACCCGATGTTACGGGCACTTAGGTCTATCGCGCACCCTTTACACGGGTTTCAGTGGAGATATTACTACTCTTCTGTGACTTTTTCGTGGACACAGTGATACGAAATGCCACATCTATGGCCTTTCCCCATCAAAATGTATGTGATTCGGAGTTACGGACATTTCAAAGTTACGGGCAGTGTCCGGTCCATGACCGCCCGGATAAACGAGGTATGAGTGTATACCATTGCAATTCCAGCAGAGGACAGAGCTGCAAAGAGCAAGCTCAGTCATGGTGCATATCACTGACCTGTACAGCCTGACCACCACCAGACACCTTGGTGATGTAGCCCATAATGAACTTAGCCGCCACTGTCTTGCCAGCACCGGACTCTCCACTGTACAAAGGGGAAAGAAAGGGGTGGGAGAGAAGAGAGAGGAAGAGAGAGAGAGAGAGAGAGAGAGAGAGAGAGAGAGAGAGAGAGAGAGAGAGAGAGAGAGAGAGAGAGAGAGAGAGAGAGAGAGAGAGAGAGAGAGAGAAAGAGTCAGAGTCCACTATTGGCTCCCCATAATACGGTCATTCCGCCTCAGACTACATGCATTGGGTCTCTCAGTCGCTCCCTACTCTCAAACACACATTCACACATGAGTGTGCCTACACACACACACACACACACACACACTACTACTACTACTACTATTGACAGCTGCCAGAAATGGCCACGCCGCTCCCCAAAGGGAGGTACTGTCAGAGAGGTTAGGGGAGAGGTAGGCAGTGCTTCAAATGGCGCTCCAGGTCCTGTCGCCTCCGAAACTGGCGTTGACTACAGACTCGGCAATGATGTTCAAAGTGCTGGCGATCAGTCACTGTAGGGCGCTTCGGGCGGGGTCCACAGCGATGGCGCTTGAGGCCAGCAGTAGACTTGAAAGTACGCTGGCAGGCAGTACACACCGGGACCTCGGCAACAGGAGGAGCATCAAAAGGCGGTCGGTCGTCACAGTTGTCACTCCCTAGGCACTTATGCACTGCAAGCCCACCCCTGCTCCGGAGCCATCTACTGCAGGCAGGACACTGCACCGACCCAGGCTGCTGTGATACGGGGAGCTGTCGGACTGCTGTGCACTTGTGCCGGGCCATGTCGGCGCGCCGACGAAACAGGCGGCCGCAAACGTGGCACACAATCGTCTTCGGGGCAGGCTCCTTCACCCCCGCTGCTGCCGACACTATGTCACGCCACTCTCCGCGATCATTGGCTGATTGGAACCAATTGTGCACACCGGCCACAGTCAGATCAGCCTGGACAACGTCCTTCCAGCGATGTCGGGGGCCGCAAAACGGGCGGGTTCGTGGAAGATGAGCGAAGAGCAACTGCTTGGGTAACCGATTGTTATCAAGCCGAGCTAGGTGCCCAAGCCACTCCAAGCGTCTTCGCTGTACCATGCACGACAGTGGAGTAGGGTCACCCCACTGTGTGCGTAGTTGCTCCGATGTAATGTGCTGCTCCCACTGGCGGCCGCGCGAAATGCCAAGGATTGACCGTAGGTTGGCGTGATGGAACCTGTCCAGCTTGTCCAAGTCCGACTTCAATGGGGTCCAACACTCCGAGCCATACAAAACCGTGGTGAGAACACATACCACATACAAATGCCGTCGAGTAGGCAGGTTCAGGCTCTGATCATGTAAAATCCGCCGAAGACAGCCAAAGGCCCTGGCACCCTTCGCAAGGCGGCTCTGGACATCGGCATGAGCTCGCGAATCCGGAGTTATAACAGATCCAAGATAGGGGAAGGAGGTAACAGCTTCAACCCTTTCATTGCCAACTGCCAGATCGGAACAATCAGCGGCAGCGACTCCATAGCCCGCGACCAGTAGCTTAGTCTTCGTCACACACACACACACACACACACACACACACACACACACACACACACACACACACACACACACACACACACACACACACACACACACACACACACACACACACACACCACACACACACATACACACACATGCACACACACACACACACACACACACACACGCACAGGTCTTCACAAACCTGATAATAACACACTGGGGCTCCTTGTCAATAACCATGTTACGGAACATGCTGTCCGTCAGAGCATAGATATGTGGTGGGTTCTCATACGCAGCCTGCATGACACAACACACACATCAAACAGTTACAGAATCAGTGAAAGCATCAGCAGTCAAAGCAGTGGGGAAACACAGCAAAACAAGTACTTATAGTTAACCAGATACATTCACAACTAAGTAAGGATAGGCTGATACGGCATGCATCTCCAATTCTCCATGTAACAACAAAATTTACAGTTTATTCTCACAATATTCGCAAAGTGGTTTGACCATTTCCTCATTCAGCACAACATGCATGAATATTGATTTAAACATCATTTTCGTGATGGTAACATTGTTGCGTTCGGCCTGCAAGCCATGCAGGAGTCCATTGTTTCAGACTTGCCCAAGGTCCAATGGTGAACATGCTAAAAGCTGATACTGTACTAAGCGAAAAAAGGAAGAAAAAAACTTGCACGAGAAGAATCATGCGTCAAGTGTGTACTTACACCTGTGAACAAACACTGCCAATTGTGTGCACGTCATAAGAATGGGATCAACGGCAAAGGTCCATGCAAAGCCGCTCAAAGTTTAGAAGTAGTCCTGGTTGCTTAAAAGTACACTCAATACCATGCAGTGCTGGTCGCCATCACCTACACCACTACCGTAAGGTACCACCAGAGCGCCCCACCTTGATTTTACAGCCAAGGGAAGAAAATCGTATGGCAGAGTGCTTTGTAAGTTTGTACGGTGTGGGAAATTTAGTGTACTAAGGTCACACTTGGCATGTTTGTTATGTGGAGCTCGTATCCGTTCAAAGGCAAACTGGGTACGGATTGACTGCACAACGTGCAACGTGTGTACAAGATTTGTATCATATGACCTACAGACAGGAAACCACCTCCACAAGACGACCATGAAAGGACAAGATGGTGGGGCGCTCTGGCGGTACTTTACGGTATAATTATTAATTATAATGTCACTTACACAGCCTTGGTATATGTCAATTTCCTTGTCCGTGAAGTAGGTCATTGCCTTGAATGGGTTCACGGATATCAACACAGGGCCGATGTAGGTCTACGACAGCAACAGCTTGGTCAAGGAAAGATTTTTCTATAATATATAACATGTAATCAGTTTCCCTGGTAACATCTGTATTGTATACGAACATCTTCAATAGTGGTTCAACTGCGTATGCATCACACGAATACTATCTCTGCCGCCAATGAGATACACTTCAAAGTACTGCTGTACAAATATTCATCTGAAGACTCGAAACTGACTTGCACATCGCAAATGAGTTTCGGAAAAATTTACATTTTCCTTGCGATAGCGCCAAAACTTCCTAAAAGGCTATTGCGGTGAAAAAAGGTTTGCAGTGCCTTGGACCGCAACACTAAGTACAGCGATACATGTATCGGTTTGGTTCTGACAATAAACATCCTCACTGCTGCTAATCAACTTAATTGCATGCATTATCTGCCCAGTGCAGGAAGGAGCAATGCACCAAGCATCTGTTCCTTCCCCAGCATTGCTGAGGGCATGAGGTTTCAAGTAAGTTACGCAATCATTAAGCGATGCGCAGGTGAAAACAACGCATGTCAAATATCTCACACACAAACACACCCAAACAAAATATTTGACTTAGTCCAGATAGCTGTATACAACACGCACAAGATATTCGGAACAAGAATGAGCCTCTTGGGACCAGGGCTCTGGATCTTCCAGCGGTATCACCGTGTTGTGCAACACCATCTACTGCACATTGAGATTTATGCACAGGTCTGTATCTACTAGTATTCGTGAGAAACCCCTAACACACAAAACCTCACAGTGTGGATCGTACAGTTTCCCCACATCAAGTTTAAATCTCATGGTTGCAACGCACATATTAGAGCGTATAATGTTTGCGCTGACGAGTCCACCGAGGACGAAACAGTTCTGTCCGCAGACTGTGTATAAATTATTTTAAACAATGTTTCAACCTGTGTTTCCTCCACTGTGCATGTGACTGCAACAAAAATGTAGGCACCCAGAACCACAACAATCAGAACATACATGATTGTGTAGGCTACACAGTCTCAACATACATACAGCTACACAGCAACACTGCAACAGACATTCCCATTCAGAGTCAGACCTGGGTCTGGGAGATCACATCACATCCTGAGAACGACCTGCTCAGCTGATACCATCTGGCATGACAGCACCACAGGGTGAGCATTTAGACAGCAGAGCTCCTCTATAATACATTATTTATATAAAATATGTACAGACTAGTAAGTAATAGTTACAGACTTTGGTCATGAAGTATTGTGTACATCAAGTGCTTCAGGAAACTCCACATCAAACGCACGCAGAGTTGATTCGGACTGGATGAGTATTTCCAGTGAAATCAATCAGACACAGATACAATGACTATGTACTTGGTGGAAGTACTTGTCGAGATGTTTTTGGTAAAATCTGTTGAGGACCCGGAGCACGAAGATCGCGTGGGCGACGACTTTTTTAGCAACAGAAAATCGATCGCAACGACATATGGACGTGGGAGGCGTGTACTCTGACATAGGAAGTGTGCCCGGAGTCGAAAGCACTTCATAAGTGCGCAAGTACTGTCAAAATATTGTAACGCCAGAGATCAAAACATAGAATAAATCATACACAGATCTACGGACACATCACACGCGCACGGTCAGGCTCGAAGCAACAGGAAGTCCTCGCAGGCTGAACACCTCCACAGCACCACGACCAGCAGTGGCAGATCTCACGACCATCACGTTGCATCTGGCCTCAACACATCCCGTCCATTAATTTCCTACGCATGGTGGCTACACCTAATGCAGTCAATAGCGAGCAGAGGTGGAAACAGCAGGCACCCGGGCCGAGGCAGAGGCAGACGAACGCAGTAAAGCGCGTACCTTTTGGTGGTAAAAGCGCAAGGCAAGTCCTTCACGCAAGGAAGTCACAGGCCAACAATTGTCATGCACAAATCAACGACACGACATCACGAAATGGGCGAAAAATACCGAACAAATTTCAGCATGATTTCAATGCATGATTTCAATGAAAATGTCAGGATACGAAGATGAGATCGTCCATGTACCGCTTCTTCAGGTTGTCGACGATAGCTGCCTCGTTGATCTTGGTCAGTAGGACCATGTCCTCGACACCTGACGTCTTCACAGACTTGCTTTGCCAGTGGTACTGTACAAAGCACGCGAGACATTTTATTGTTCAGAAACAAAAATAACAATTCAAAATCCCAAAATAAGCAACGCAAGCGGACACATGGTAGCGCCATGATTCCGCCACACCGACCCTGAATACATCTGGCCACAAAGACTGAATGAACCAACAACAGGTTCGCAAAGGAATTCGGCTTACCGCCATGGCTGCCGATTATATCGCCCTTCCTTCAGCACGTCAAAAAAAAGAAAGCTCCAGTGCTAGCTAGTGGCTGCGTACAGCAGCAGGAGGTCTTCAAAACGGCCAGAGCCCGAACGGGCATAAGCACACTGCACGCTAGGCCAGGAAGCACAACCCAGCCAGGATCTTAGTAGCTAGCCTAGAACTTCAGTATTAGAAGTAGCTCACTCTACACTCCGCCGTGGAGTCATCCTCTCCCCTCTTCGCGGCTACCTCCTCTATCGACAAAAATTCACGTTGTGAAGTCTTGTCCTGTCAAACCCACCAAGATTGGGAATGGGCCCCGAATGCAGGATCACAGATAGCAGCAGCTGAGTGAGTGCACAGCGCTCCTTGCCTCGGCTTTGCCTTGCAGTTGTTTGGCCCAGTACTACAATCATGTACATGATGTACAGAAGAGTGCAACACTGTACTGATCACCATCGCCGCATCGGCACGCCATGCATGTAGACCTACGGTACTGAGTCCAGTATGTTGTTCATGTACAGTGCTGGCAACTGAAATCCGACCCCCTGGGCGCGGCGGCGCGTTCACTTTCTAGCGGCCTCTATTTCGGGTTTTTGCGTTGTTAGCGCATACTCAGGGGGTCGGATTTCAGTTGCCAGCACTGTATGACTAGACCTCTAGCCTAGGCTAGCTCTAGCTTAGCTAGCTAGATATGCTCGAAGTGGAAGTCTGATGATCACCGCATGCAGCGCACAACACCGGCCTGACCAGACATCTCGCCATGCTGACGAGTGACGACGGGCGGCGCAAAGAAGCCATGCATGGCTGTGGAGTGTGGTCCACTCTCGACTACAGTTTGTGGAAATACAACGTAAAACCGATGGTTACTAGCAGTGAGCAGTAAAAATATTATTACTCCCTGTGGAAATACTAGTATTTCCCTTTTTCTGATCCCGTTCGGGTGCAATGAAACAACTCTGGCAGGAACGACGTAGATCTACGCGTACCGTCATCTGGTCATTACTTCTTGACTTGAGCCGTTGAGGCTTGAGCTTGCAAGCTTGGCTAGCTGGCCATGGCGCCAGGTCCACGTGGCCCAGATACATCATCAACGGGTACAACTAACTTTTTTGTAGATCCGCACTCCCGCAGTATTAATTTTCTTTCTGTTTTATGTGAAGATCGGACTTGAGCGAGTCAGAATCAGATGGGGACAACCTTGTCCTGAATCCTGCCAGCCTGGTACAGCTGCGGTACAGACTGTCTGCAGTCAGTACAGCCTACATGTGCTTGCTGTATGTGGTGGCTGTTCGTTCTTTGTTTGGGGAAAGTAACAAGTAATAGTTAGTTTGGCACCCTGCCGACAGTACTGTTCTGAGTCTGTAGTGTATCAGTCTTTTCTCTTGAACAAAACATTCGCGATCGCGGGCCACCCAGCGGCACGCTAAACAAGAGAAAGAAGAAGTGTACAATGTCATGTACACGTACATGTACAATCATTCTCTTTCTAGACTCACACATTATACTGATGAGTGATGTTGACAAGGAATCATCAGCGGATCGCGGTCATTTGGACTCATTTCACAGACAGTCACAGTACATGTACACAAACCAGATCCTGATGCTGTATAAACATGATTGTAGTAGCTTTCACCGACTGGATACGTGTGCAGTATGCTGTGTTCCTTGTCACGTTGTGTCAGGAATTTCGTCGTGAAAGCCCTTTCACGATCCCTGCCCTTGCTGTGACTAGTACTACATGATTGTAGTATAACTAGTTTAGTAGTTTAGTAGTTTTTACTCGGGAATACTAGTCAATACTAGTCATGTACATTACTTTGTATTTTCAAACAACACGTCATGCAAAAGAGATCTCATATCATCCAATGAAGGAAAAACTTCTTTTTCAAGTACATGTACATGTACGTGTGTTCATCGATCCCCTACTAAATGCTATCACCTTCCACTCGATTCCTTGGTACTTCAGTACAGACGGCTGGTGCTATCACCTTCCACTCGATTCCTTGGTACAGACGCACTCAGTAGCACACTGCACTGTAGCTAGACCCTTACATGCACATGTACCAGCTGAGCAGACCAAAGCGGTTACTTCGGTTCCGATCCAGACCATGTTGATTGTTGTCACTAAAAAATTACTTTTGAAGTACTAGTGCATGTACATGTAATAATCTCGTAGATTTGAAGGTTGATTTTTTTAAGTTGATTTAAAGGTACAATCGTACATGTACAAATGTATTCGTACCGCGTGGTGTACCCGGAATCCGGGATGCGCGCATTGCATGTCCTGTTACATAATTTGCTTCATGCTGTCAAACCAACAACATCGTACAATGTACAATCATGTACATGGTAGGTAACAGTGGTTGGTTGCACTCAGGTGCAAAAACACCTACAGTCATGTACATTTGTACATCATGTACTTGTAAAAAGCACCATTCGTCGGTACCAGAGCTGAGGCAGGGGTACACTGAGATCGTGTGTGATAATGAGGCTCTGGCCGCTTGTCTCTGGACAATGAATGGGGCCTAGCACGCCTCATGTCATCTTCTCAGTGTAAGAGTGATTCATTAGTGACAACTGAACTACATGTACATGACTGTACTAGTAAAAGTAAAGTAAGTGATAAGCATTCGGTCATTCAGTTCTTTTGTGTGGATCACGTCCATAATAGGTCTGGAAACGAATTACTTCCCACAGAATACACCGATGGAGTTCAGTATGGTTGCAGATCTACACTATGGTGCTGCTCAATGAAATCCAGTCGCGTCGCTCAAGTCTGCGCCTTGCATCCTTCCGCAGCCCAGTGTTCGCAGGTCTAGGGCTGCGCAACGCCCGGCGCATACTTGCGTGACGCGACTGGATTCCGTTGGCCAGCACTGTACACTGGCCATCAATCATTGGCTCTAGTGAAAACTGTAGTGTTGGCGTGTTGCTATCGTCAGCAAGCAAGTAAAGTAACTTACTTTAACATGACCAATGCATTTGGACTGCTGTCCAAGCTTGGTGAGCTTCAGCACGCGGTGAAGATCTCGAAGCCTGATGTTATTATCGTGACAGCGACCAAGCTCACTGCAGAAAAAGGTCATCCAGGCGGAAGTCTCACTACCTGGATATGCCCCTCCCATTCGTCGAGACCGCACCGCTCATGGAGGAGGCGTTGCGGTCTGGATTAGGGACGACATTGCCTTTCAGCACCTCCATGACATCAACTGTGGTGATCACGAAATTGTCTGGGTATCTGTCTCCACGGCCCCCCCCCCCCCCACACGAACATTGCCATTGGCGCTGTCTGCAGGCCAGGCTCCTGTCTGGAGCACCGACACCAAACTCTTCCAACACCTTGATGCAACTCTTGACAGAGTTAGGCAGCATGGGTCGGAGATTATCCTCGCTGGCGACTTCAATGTGTATAGCGGCGTGTGGTTATGAAGCAAAAAACTACTCCTGCAGGGGAATATACTGAGGATATGATTGTGTGTTAGCCACGGCCTGGAACAACATGACTTGTTACGATGAAGACCCAAGTGCATCTGATTACATTGTATGTCTGACTATCTTTCTGACGTCACAGTCGGTTGCAACTAACGTTTTACTTGCAAACCTCCCGGCCCTTGGCGCCTCGGACCATGTAGGCTACATGACGCAGTTGGCTTTGATATGACATTGTAATAATAATAATAATATCTTTATTAGGATGACCCAGAGGCTTGTCGCCTATCAAGGCCCAGGGGTTCACCGCTTTGAAGGGTGTACATGCACATGTACTAGTACATGATTGTTAGTTTGACAGCATGATGTAACAAGGTGGAGGATACTGTGTTCGGAAACAGTGACCTTACTACAACCTTCCGCGGTTAGTCTTCCAACCCCCTAGCATGACGAGGGTCAGAACCGGGTGCGATACCCATAAATTATGGTTCAAATGGTCCGCAGGGACCGGGGCTCTGCCAACCGCGGAAGGTTGTAGTAAGGTCACTGTTTTCGAACACAGTGTCCTCCTCCTTGTTTCATGCTGCCAATCTAACAATTGCGTGAACTACAACAAGGTTTATCTAATACTGGTTTACCAGTTTTGGATTATATCATATGTACATGATTGTACAAGCTAAGTGAAAGTACGAAATAGAGGTTGCGACTTCGGCGTGAGTATTAGTGAAAGTAGTGAAAAGTATTACAGTGTAGTTAGTTGTGCAGCGTGCATGCGTTGGGGAGCACACAGGGGGGGGGGGGGGGGGGGTTATGTACATGTACATGTACATGGTGTGGGCATACCGGAGAGCGAAGCACTATGTTTGCAAGTGAGTTTGCGAAGCTCATTCTTGAAAACAACAGTACCACACTACGACACTACATGTACATGTATACTCAATCACAGGTCTAACATTGCACTTGTAATTACATGTATTTGTTGCCATCTTCCATAGGTCCGTCAAATAGTAGTAATAGGTTTTTCATTTGACCCGACGAGACCATACGACGCTTGCAGACAACAGCACGAACAGTTCACCAGCCACACTCCACGAAAGCAAGTAGTATTACTCCTGACAAGTCTTGTTTTGTTCCATAAAGATGACGGGGAACTCATCAAAGGAGAAGCAGTTGTTGATTGATGGAGTTAAGCTGAATTATGTTATTTTATAAAGAAGATGCCAGCGCAAGGTGTAAACACTCGACAATCTCACATATGTGACAAATCAACACAAAAAGGAATAGTGCAGAATGGAGGTGTATGAACCCTACCAGACATAACTATCACAAGTGCTAAATCGATCACAATGAGAAGGAGAGGTACACAGGCATAGGTTGCCCTAATGTACATGAGTTACACGTCACACACCCCCCCCCCCGCGCTTACGGAACATCCGTCACCTCTGTCCCTCTATAGCGCCAGCTGTAATCAATACCTACCGCCAACCATCCCGCCTATTCGTTGATGGAGAGTGCTTGCTATCGTGCGAGGGTACCACCCAGGGTGACCCTCTGGCCATGCCCGTATACGCGCTTGGAGTCCTCCCGCTCATCAAGAAAGTTGCAGTGCCTGGTGCGAAACAGGGCTGGTATGCGGACGATGCTGCAGCCGGTGGGAAGCTCACGCCTGTTCGCCAATGGTGGGACGATCTTGTCAGCCACGGTCCCGGGTATGGTTACCACTGCAACGCCCAGAAGTCACTCCTCCTGGTCAAGCCCTCAAAGTACGCAGCTGCTATCGAGACGTTCGAGGGGACCAGTGTGCAGGTCACGTGTGATGGATGCCGCCACCTTGGTGCACCTTTGGGTACGGATGAGTTTATAGAACAATTATTTGTCCAGTCCGAGGTCGCCGCCTGGTGTGAGGA